CTGAAGTCAGGAATTTGAGATCTTTGATTAGACAGAGAATCTTGGTTTTAGCGCCAACACGCTGTTCTTATTTACCATGCGTTACACACTTCTTATTTAAAGTTAGAATGTGTTGACAGTTACCATAATGGACTATTCCTCAATACTAGCCTACGTTTTTCCCCTAGTTTCTAGTTTAAGAAGCCCTGTCTGAAGATTTGTAAAATTTTGTAATTGTAAATTTGTAATATAAACAAACACTGATTATTTGAAATCTAAGAAACTTTGTAATTCGTATTTTGTGATCTCTTGCAGTTTAGGGATAGACGTGATGTCCATTATGTTTCTTGCGTTTATAACCATTGATACTCTGACATTCCAGTGTTGTATGTTTCATCAATTTGATTGCATATTTATGAATTAATAACGTGGCTTAGCAATTCGAATTTTAGTGATTTGCATTCAAACAATTGATGTCTTCACTATTCATTGGCGGTGTTATTGAACATATAAAAAAAAAAAAAAAAAAAAAAAAAAAAAAAAAAAAAAATAAAAAAAAAAAAAAAAAAAATAAAAAAAGGGGGGGGACGGGAATCTTTGTAATTTTTTCTTTTCTTGTAGCTTCCTTTTCAAGTCTGCATTTGCTACTTGTTTTGGTAATCAATCAATGATCTTTTTGATGATGTCCTGAAATTCCTGTTTCGTTACAGATAAGCCGAAGAATATTTGAAATGGTGAGAACTGAATGCCTGGCAGATAAGTTTGTTTCAAAATGTGCAGAAGTGTCACTACAGGATCCTAAAATATATACCCTGAGGGAGGTAGAGTATTATGCTGATACCTGCTTGGATAAAGCAGATCTTTCAGAGGAAGAAAAAAATAAGAGCAAACCATTTGAATTGTACAAAAGACGCACCACTGCGGTTGTCAGGAGACAAAATTTCCTAGATTTTGCTTCCGAAGCTCTTGCAGAGTACAAGTACGTGGGCGCAGATCAGAGGGCTGATTTGGCTATAGCTTGCAGGTAAAGTTAGCGTCTCACGCTCTTTTTTGAATTGAGTTTGACTTCTCTATGGAAATTAGATGCTCTTAGTCGGAAAAGAGCATCTTTCTGTTTAACTTGTACGGTCAAATTGCTGTTTTTATGTTCTAGTTTCTCTTTCAACTGTAGTTGTGTTTCCAATATATTCAGGCTTGATGATAAATTAAGTGACGCTGAAAGGTAGGTTTAATTCACCACTTATAGCAAATTAATAGGTGGGGTTCCTGATTATAATGCACCCTGGACTTGTTCTGGCTTATGGTATACCCTCAAGTTTTCTGGCAAGAGTCAAAAGCGTCGCAATCCTAAGAATTGTTCTTTTCTCTGCTTTACGTGATTTTCTTACACTAATTTCTTGTCTTATTTTATATTTACTTGAGGGGAATGCTTCATATTCATGGGTTCCAGACCTTTGGAACAACTAGAATTGCAAATATGACTGAGTACCTTTTCAGCAATCTCGGCCATGATTTAAGACAAATCAAATTGGATACTTTCTTTATGAGTTCTGCGCAAATAGTTTTGAGGCCAGGAAGTGTAATGGAACTAATGATCTTTTCAAGGGTTCAGCATTGAATCCTACCTTGTCTACTGATTGAAGACATTAGTATGAAGTCAGGATGTACCAACCTTGCCTCCAAAGGTACAAAAGGAGGAGAAAAGAGAACTTGCAAAAAATTCTAAACTTGGTAGTTCTACTGCCATCGTACAGAACCTTTATAGAAAACATAATCTTGGGAGTACCATTCTGATTACAAAAATAACTGGCATAGTATCTAATAGCTAGAGAGGCTATGAGATCAGAACATCGCAAAATAAATGACAAATACACTCATTTAACAAGTATATAGGAATAACCCCTATATCAACAAAAAACCTACGTACGCCAACTACATGATGCAATCTGTGGACACGAACGTAAACAAGTAATACCTAAAGGCAGCCAAAATCGAAAGAAAGCTAAGAAGCACCAAACAGAGGCTATCAGGCAGTCTATCTACCCTAAAAATGCACACACCACGGAGCAACCAATAGCAAACTACAAACGATAAAGGTCAAAGAATACAATTTGGCCAAAGCCAGTTATCCACAGGATAATCCACCTGTGATTTATTAAAGTCACCAGAGATATTTTTGATAGGTTCATCATCTGACATAAGCTCAATAATGCTGGCGATGGATAGCAGAGCTTGTTTTGAATCTCATGACCTGTAATTGGAAAGATGATCGCATTCTCTTTTTATAATTGTCCTTGATTCGATCTTTTTGTAGAACTAATTGTTTTCATAGAATGATTTACCTCGCTTTATTATGAATTGAATGGATTCATACTTGTACCTAAAAAATAGGAAAAAGGAAAAGCAAAATGTTGGTTCTTGTTATAAACAAATTGTGAGTTCTCTTATGGGAGACTGTGTTCTACTTTGTAACTTGTGGGAAAATTTACACTTACACTTTCTGACCTCCGACTTCACTTTGTCATCACATTCTGTTTCTTGGTACTTGTTACATATGGTTTGAAGGTTGGTTTGTGCTTTTTTCTTTATTGCTAGTTTTGTATGATTTTGTTATTGGATCAATTCAGAATCCGAGAACGAAAGGAATCTGTTACTGTACTATTGTGCGGCACAAGTGGCTGTGGCAAATCTACTTTGTCAGCTTTGCTAGTAAGTTTTATCTGTATATTGCTATGGTTTCCCATTTTTCTGTTTTATCTGGTTTCTGGAGTTTTGTACATTACAATGCTTTAATTTTGTTATTATTACTGTTTTGGTCTATGAGTTCAAGTTTGTCAGAGTTGTAAATACATTGCGTCAGGATTATGATTGCATTGGTGACCTTTTAATTTGCATATATTTTATATGCAATATAATAGCAAGTTTTTTCAATTGTTTCAATGCTGGTATAGTTTTAATTGGCTATTTCTTTGCTTTAGTACATTTAGTGATTCAACTAAGAGATCAAGGCATGGTAATTGTTAATAAACTTTGCATTTTATCTCAGTTGTAAACTTTAAGTTTCAAAATGTGGTAAATTAGTTTGATTAGTATTTGTTACTTTTTTAAAAATGATATTCCACTGCGGGGATGCATCCATACCTCCCACGCAGGGTAAATTTTGCCCTTATTTATTTTACCTTATTCCAAATAACGTGGTGGTAGTCCTTGCTATAGACATCGCAATGATATATTACCTGCTTTAGTTTATATTCTCTTTATTTAATTGATAATTGCTTTTGATATAATTTTGTTGATATGTGTTGCAGCAATCGTCTTTAAATCAATGGACAAAATTTAGATTGAGCCGTTATCATTTTTGTAGGGTAGCAGGTTGGGTATTACGACTGTTATATCTACTGACTCAATCAGGCATATGATGAGGAGTTTTGTAGATGAAAAACAAAATCCTTTACTGTGGGCTTCAACCTACCACGCTGGAGAATATTTAGATCCAGTAGCAGTTGCAGAAGCTAAGGCCAAAAGGAAAGCGAAGAAATTAGCCGGTGTCTCAACCCCCTCACTAGCTAAGGATGACGTATCTAGCGGTTTTGCAATTGAAAAATCTACAATTGAGGGTTGTTCGGTTGCTGCTAGTTTGATCCACCCAAAGCAGATGGCAATTGAAGGTTTCAAAGCGCAAAGTGAGATGGTAATTGATAGTCTTGATCGGTTGATTACTGCATGGGAAGAAAGGAAAGAATCAGTGGTGGTGGAGGGCGTTCACTTAAGCCTCAATTTTGTGGTAAAAATAGATGAGACTTTCAATTTGAGAAAATTCTGTGTCAAATATTAAGTACCTTTTACCCTCCACGATCAGCTTTAATCTAAATTCATTTTCTCTATGCAGATGGGGCTTATGAAAAAACATCCTTCAATCATACCATTCATGATATATATTTCGAATGAGGAGAAACACCTCGAAAGATTTGCAGTCCGTGCAAAGTACATGACACTAGATCCTGCTAAAAACAAGTATGTTAAATATATACGAAACATCAGAACAATTCAAGAATATCTCTGTAACCGAGCTGATAAGCATTTGGTGCCAAAAATAAACAACACAAATGTTGATAAAAGTGTGGCAGCCATTCATGCAACAGTTTTTAGCTGCCTAAGGAGGTGTGAGGCAGGAGACCAGCTTTATGATTCAATCACAAATACAGTGACTGTTGTTGACGAGGAGTACAGGAATCAGTGTGCTGCCAATTCCTTGAGTTCCAAGGGAATGTTTCAGTTGATTCAAAGGAAAGGTTCTAGTAGGAATTTGATGGCACTTTTGAATAACGATGGATCTGTGGCTAAGGCTTGGCCGGTTAACATAATAGATGAAAATGGCAAGCCAATTGTGGGCCGTCCTATTGAGAACGGAATAGGAAATCCCGCCTTTGGACCAATGCAGATAGATAAAGCTGAATATGTCAACTTGCAGTTTGGTAATTTTGGCATCAGTGCTTGGCCCAATGATACTGGAGGTACCAGTCATGCCAGCAGTGTGGATGAGTCAAAGGATTACCTGACTGACAATGGTAGTAGATATTATTCGTCCTGCTGCAGTTCACCAAGGTTCTCTGAAGGGCATGCAAAGGAAGTAGGTTTCATTTAATTATTTATGTTTATAGCAGAGAAGTTAGTCATGAATCCTTTTTCTTGTTTATTATATCTCAAACAACAGATGGGATTATAATAATCACGTCATACAACGGCTCTGGTCGTTCATTTTGTGTAACTTTATTTCGTCGTGTTAATTTTCTAAATTTTCTCCTTTTACTTATTGGTCTTCATGTTTTTTGCAGCTCAAGGATAAAAACTCAGTGCATGGTAGTGATGAAGATGTTGACGAGCTGCCTGAGATAGACAGCGATGAGGATCTTAGTGATGGGCAAAAACAGAACCAAGAAGAGGTGTGTATGTGTCATCAATTCAAAATAGCTTTTAGTTTGAATATCTTAGCTCCCTGGAAATGCAAGACTTGAAAGTTATTGCTGCCCATGATTGATGTGTCGGGAATTCTCTGTTGTTAAGCTTTGACCTTTTATCATTAATCAAACACAGTATCATATTTAGCACCATTTTTCAAACAACCTATATCTTTTTTGCAGTTGGAAGGCTCGGTGGCTGAGGAATCCACCCTATCGGACGAGGAGTATGATGATCTCGCCCTGCAAGATATCCCAGATGGCGGCTACGTTTCTGATAATGAAGAAGAGTCCATGGAGTTCAATAACGTGGTTGTATCAACTAAGAATATCATTAATGGGCATAAGTACCAACACAATCTCGACCTTTTCATGAGAACCAAAAGTGAATCTTCGTCGGAGGAACTGTCAAGTGCTTTTGCATATCCCCTCAGAGAGAGAAACGAGAGCCGAATGCCACAACGTTATGGCAATAGCAGGTTGAGAAAACGCTCTCAGAGCATTCCAGCCTTCGGGAAGCATGAGTCACTTGTAAACGTTCCAATGGTTAAAAATGCAGTTACTGTGTAATCAAGTAGTTCTTTTTTGAGTTTCTCATCTTTTCTTTTCATGTTATTTTTTGTAGCTTTGCAGCAATCACCTTATGTATAGAATTACTTGAATAGATGAGTTTCTGGATATGGATGGCCCTGAGTTTCGTTGTTGAGATTTATTCCTAGCTAGCTATTACAATTATTTGGGCCACTCAGTGAGTCTCGAGGCAGTAGGGATGGCATTCGGGCTCGTCGGCTCGGACCGCCCGTGACTCAGCTCAGGAAAAGCTCAAGCCGGCTCGGCTCGGGGCTCGGTCCCACCGAGCCCCATTTTGGAGACACGGGCTTTACTCAAGCCAGCTCACGACCGAGCCCCATTTTGGAGACACGGGCTTTACTCAAGCCAGCCCGTGAGCTTGCAAGCTTTTTATTAAAAAAAAATTAAAAATTGAGGCTTGAAGGCAGCAGTTTAGGAGAAAACAAGCCTGCTCGGCCCAGCCCGAAAAAAGCCCGAGCTTTTGCCTTTTTTATTTTGGCCGAGCCAGCTCGAGCCCGCAAAAAAGTTCGGCCATTTTAACCGGGTCGAGTCCAAGCCGAAACTTTAGGCTCGCGAGCTGGCTCGTTTACATCCCTACTAGGCTGGGATGTATCTTGATCAGGATCTAATGAATTCGTGGATGGTGATCTTGAGAAGGAATAGGTAGTTGAGAGTTGAAATGATTGAGAACCCGTACCAGCCACATATAAACATAAAGTTTACTTGTTTCATTTCATATCCAACTCAAAATGTCAGCACTTAGTGACTTTCATAATGTAATTCAAGAAATTCTGGAAATGAGATGAGATTTCGGGCAGTTTGATTGTCTGTTGTTTTTGGAAATATAGATTGAAGTAAAATGGTACAATAGGACAACTCATGATGCTATTATGTATTACTGCATCGTGGAGGAAACATGTATAGCATCACTGAAAAGGAAAAATTCACGTTGAAATGCACCATATAGTAATCCTTGACCTAAACCCGACATTTAGGACTGTTTATGCAAAGTCACTTTAGGAACCATACTTCCTACGGTTAAGTTGAGTCCACTCCTCGAAAGCTAATTGCAAGCCATAGGGAATTGAATTGCCATATTGAATCTTTTGCTGGTCATCAGGGACCGAGTGGCAAGGCTACTATGTGTAGGGAAAAATATCTCTCATTCTTGACCGATGGGTCAGGATATGTCACACATCCACTGTGTACCTACCATTTAAGTGGCAATGTCGTGTAGCTGCTGCCCTTTTCATTGCGGTCTCGTGAGCTAAACTTCGTTTCTTCCCTTAGTGAATGGAGCACAATTTGGAAACATCCTATATCAACAAAAATCTGAGTGAGTTCTTTTATATGCCTAAAAGGTCATAATGCCTAACAAACTGTGAAGCAGTTGCATTTCAGCTCGACTTCCCATCAAGACAATTCCTGGAGCACATTTACGGTGTGTTTGGTAGCACACCCTTTTCTATAGAAAATGGAAAATTAATACAATTTTTCAACTTAGTGTTTGATAGGTAAAATTTTCCATGGAAAAATGAATTCCACCTTTCTTGGCCACATCAGCATTTTCCATCAAATCCTTGAATTCCAATTCTCACCAAAATGGTGAGAATTGGAATTCTCGATTACTGCAGCATTTTTATTTTTATGTTTTATTATTATTATTTTTTGTAATAGAAATAAATTCAAAGAATTATTGTAAAAAAAATTTCCCTATAACTGACAATTTTCATGTAAAATAAAGTCAAATGAACACCAAAAGATAGATGATTTTCTTTGAGGGTCCATTTGACTGTAATAGATGATTTTGATGTTCGTTTGACTTTATTTTTCATGGAAATTGTCAATTTAAGGGATATCCACTTTTACAATTTTTCTTAGAATTTGTTTCCATTGTCAATTTTTTTTTTTCAAAAAATTATTTATATTTTGGTGTTCGTTTGACTTTGTTTTACATGAAAACTGTCAATTTAAGGGATATCTTCTTTTACAATTGTTCTTAGAATTTGTTTCCATTGCCAAAAATGAAAATAAAACAAAAAATAAAATGGTGGAAAATCAATAATTGATTTTCCACCAAATTATGGAAAATGCAAGTGTGTGGGGGAAAAGATGGAAAACGAAATAACATGGAAAACTTTTGCTATCAAACACCTAAAATTGGTGGAAAATGGAATTCGAATTCTATTTTTCATGAAAATTGTGCCAATCAAACATGGCCTTACTTCAATTTCCTAATTTTGCAACCCTTTTGGTGCATCTCTGAGACAATCTTTTCGGCTTCTTCAATCTTCCCACAACTCTAAAACTTGAATGTCTATACATACAAATCCATACCCACCCATTTCATCAAATCCAAAATCTTCTCCAACTACTCTATTATAATATGTGGGCTGCCTCACTATTACTTTCTGGCCCAAATGGACTTAAGCAAGGACCTGGACTATTATGATTATTTCCGGGTTATGAAATCGTGTTTTTTGGAGAAAACGTGTTTGCCTCTTTAATGGTTAAAGATCAGCCGTCCACGTGACTGTATCCTAACCCTTGGATTATGACGTTTGGCTGGTCAGATATTTAACTTGGTTTTGGCCCTTATTCTGGACGGTTCGATGTCTTCTGCCCTTTCGCTTGTTTCTCTCTGAGTGAAATATTAGGGTTTTTTTTTTCTTTACTGTAAATCCAAAATATTCTTGGTGGTTACTCAATCTGTATTCTTAGTGATAGTCTCTGATTGTTTTGTACAATCGATTAGTGATTGAGAGGGTTTTGGTTGGAGTTTGTAAAGAAGCGAAAGGACACTCGAAGAAACTTTTGGTTTCTTCGCACATACTGTATTGTTCTTGGTTAACACTTAGTGGATCTCAAGCTATATCACTTTTGGTGATGCTCAACGGGTGATTAGGTCGCAAGACTGAACATCCCTGAACATCAGATCCTTTTAGGGCAAAGCACATCTTCGTGTTCGTTTTTCATTTTTTGCAAGTTTACTTTTACTGCTTAAGTGAACGATCCTTTTAAATCTTAGTGATTCACCTTAACATACTCAAATTTCCATCTTTTGTGCATGCATTCACCATTATATTTCACGTAAAAAAATTGGCTCTGCTCACCATCTCTTCCACAAATTCCTTAGCCCTCTTTACTCTCCATTCTTACACAAACTTCCACAAATTCAGTTATCTGGAAAAGTTTTTCATACTTAATTTCAGTCTTGAATTTTGTTTCACTTAACAAAGTTAAATACGTAAATCTTTGGCTAAGCTTATAATTGCTTACAAGATGCTCTATCAAACCGTCATTTGATTCACACGTTTCTTAGAATCCGCAACTTTTATATACTTATGCCCATTTATCATCTATGCATTTCTTATGAGTCACAGTTTATAATCTAATAAATATGGATACTTTTTCAAGTCGGAACAAAAGTTATAGCAAACTCTTGATATGCTATGTGAAGATAATCAACAAATGTTGTCATCTATATACTATATTACTAAAAATCAACATAAAACTAGAAAGTTGTCGTATTTATTTGAACGTATACATCTTGCATCCATTGATATTTTAAAAATAAATATCTAAATTGAGGTGTTGAACCTTGAGGAGTGATGAATGTGGACTGAAAATTCAGCCATGATGTGGTAATGCATGTAGGCAGCAGTACAATAGAAAAAATGAAGACATGTGGGTGGTCGATCGTTAAAGGGAATAACTTTTTTTCCACTTGATTTTGTAGGGGGTAAAAATTGATCTAATTTGTACCATATTATCTCTTGAAATTGACCACAAATGGTCCCTTTCTTTTATGCATTGTCTATTCTTTGGGCCACCATTAAAGAGACCATTGTACGGCTGACTTCACAACTTAGCTACATGTTACTCGGGATTAGGTTTGGGAATTCATTGGTCTTTACTTAGAAGTATTCCTTACATAATAGATGTATGCACCTTCGTATTCAGTGATGCTTTGTATTAATTCATATTCATTGTTTTAATAGTATGTGGCATCGAGACTTGAATAGAGTATCTTTGCTGGCTAATATACACCTAAAAGCTTATGCTAGCACATATATATTTGTTTAAATTTTCATTTTTTGCTGGTTAATATCACAACCTAAAAGCCTTGAGCTATTATAAGGGAAATATTAATTGGTTTAATTTTAATCTTAAAATAATATCAAATACGAGGTTTGATCTGCCATAATTTCTCATAAGATACATATACGTACATCAGTTAGTAGGGTCCGTTTGATAGACTATTATTTTCCATGGAAAATGGAGTTCAAACTTCAATTTTTACTTTTTGGTTGTTTGATGGCATATTTTTTCCAAGTAATTGGTTTTCTTGCCACACGGACATTTTCTTGGTTTTCAAGGAAGGTGGGAATTGGTTTTATAAGCTATGCTGCCGATTTTTTATTATTTTTTGACTATGAAAACAAATTTCATCCCTAATTGGAAAAAAATATTTTCTTTTAATTGACAATTTTCATATAAAATAAAGTCAAATGAATACCAAAAGATATATGATTTTTTTTGGGAAACGAAAACAAATTATATCCTCGATACCAGTAAATTTTATCCCTTTAATTGACAAATTTCATGTAAAATAAAGTCAAACGAACACCAAAAATACTTTTATTTTAACATTTTTCAAGTGAAAAATTATACCAGTCAAACACAATAATTGACAATTCCTAGTAAAACAATTTTTAGGCAATTCAATTCCTTAAAAAAAAAAATTTCTACTCAAATTTCATCTTTACAATCAAACAGACCCTTAGAACTTTTTTAGGCAAGAGAGGAGCAACACAGAAAATGATTCCTGAATGGAACAAAGGCTTCAAAAGATCTCAACTATTCTCTCATCCGCGTGGATGTTAATTGCACATTTGGACACAGTCATTAAAGACACAGCCACGGCTTCCAAGGACAAAGGGGGTGGCACGATCATGCGCACTACATCGCTTAAATCAATATACGAACAAATATTTGATTTGTGGGAAAAACTTGAAGAACGGAGAATAGGGGAATTAAGTGGTATATTTTAGAGTGAGAATACCAATATATAATCCCTTCAAATAACACCAACTATGAGTATTTTAAAGCAAAAGAGATGCAAATGAGGTTCCTCGGATGCTTGAATGTGGTTCAATGGCTTACATATCAAGCTCAAAGATGTTATATAATAGCCATCATAGGCTTGTGACCTCCCACACACTGTTTTAGGCGGTACAAGCCACCTTCAAATTTATTGATTGCGTAAAGATCTACCGAAGTTGTATCAAATAATTGGACATCCACTAAACAAAGTTCAAAGAAACAAATGAAGCCCCAGCTAGTGTTTAAAAAACTGAACTAAGCAAAATAACTGAAGTTTCAATTTTAACCATAAATATTAGACTAATGCTAAGTAGTATTACCAGTGTACGTGGGAACATAGTAGCATTGGATCGTTGGCGCAAATCCCTAACAGTGACATCAAAACCAAAACAAACCATACATACATAGGGTTTGTAAGGTGAACATAAAACCTTAAGAAATAAGAGTATACAGTTGGAGTTAAAACATCTTGCAAGTGAGGATTTATTTTCAGGCTAAGGACCAAATATGGACACCAGCTCAGAGTATGAGTGCCATTTGCTGCACTTTTCAACAATGGCATTTTTTATCTGAGGGTGATGTTTCCTATGCCAACTGGCTGCATGACTTAAACTACTTCTCTCTTTGAATCTGTCAACAAATTGGTACCAATATCATTTCGTTTTAACCTTATGTGCTCCGTGGGGCATGGGAGAGACTCAGACTCAAAAACTTTTCATATCAGGTTAATTGATTAACTATATACATACATATACACGTAAGTTATAGCTGACAGGAGAGTTGCTATCAACTCTATATAATCCAATACGTCAGGCTCGAAAATCCACCTCAAACGTACTCTATTTAGGTCTCATTTCGAAGGCGCCATTGGACCATGTTCTTATAGCGACCACAGGCCCACTCTCATTTCAAGCATGTTCTTGCACGACTATGCTTACGAGCTTATGGTCCATATTCTCAAGCTGTATCATAGTCGGGGGGTGGATTTAAGAGCTCCCCTAGGCTACAGTCCTCCACCTTAAAATGTAGGGAAATTATTTATATAGATTCTTAATATAAATTTATTCGCCGAGCTCGAACAATGATTTAGCCCACCTCAACAAATTTTCTAGCGGAGTTAAGAGAGTAGATGAAATGTATAATTATGTGAGTTCGAATTAATGGAGCATACACGACAGAAATGAAACTTTGTTTATGAGTTGTTTACTTAGTATAATTTTACAGACAGCTGAGATATGAAGAATGAAGGGATATGATATCAGATCTTCGCAGTTCATAAGCTTCCAAAACTCTGAATGTAGTCACTGTCATATTAAAGACCAGTACTCTTCTCTTCGTTCACAAAGTTCTGCACGTCCAAATTCATGACTGTGAACAAGAGGAAAATATGAAAAATTGAATAATATACCAACGAAATTTCAATAATTAATGAAGATCAATATAGGATCTTAAAAATATAATTATTATCAGTTGCATGCAGTGTCTTTTTGCACATGAAAATAAATAGGAATTTTTCAACATTTTAATCGGATATGAATTAGTATTCTTATTAGCTAGCTGATCGTCCTCATCATAGATTTTGAGACATCAAGCGCAGCAAAGAATGGTCATAACTATATTGAAGAAAATCTTTTACTCGATCAATTTTTTCAAGACATACCTGGTACATTGAATTACACATGATAATATATGATCAAGGAAGAGAGATTTGGAAAAATTTACGAGTCAAAAAGTTAAAGCGTATTAAAAATACTATAAGTCACAGCATATCCTTGTATTAATGCAATCTGAAGCAACCTCAGGCAAATGAGTGTTTCTCAATATTAAGCCCCGTTTGAACAACATTATTGTAAAAATAAAAATAAAAAATATAGTCGTTATAGATCCCACACAAGAAATAAAAAGTCAAATATGGTGGTTTGATGTGATGGATAACGATCATATTTTTCATTTTAATGAGAAAATAATGGGGCTCAAATAGGGTATAAATATCAATAAACTGGAAAAAAAAATTGAGCTTTGTTCATGATAAATACTATAAGTCACTTAATTTTAATGAGAAAATAATGGGGCTCAAACAGGGTATAAATATCAAGTTCTATATTTAATTAAAAACCACTGCTTCTGACAGTATAGAAGAGATTTTGGAAAGCAAAATACATAAAATTTTGAGGTTGTACAAGACTATAATGGATCAAATATTATTGTTGCAAATGTAGCCCCAAGTGTAATATTCTTGAGACTAACTTTGAGATTCTGAGTTTGGATGAACAATCTATAAGCAGGATAGAATTTGGATGGACAACAACAAAAGTTGAAGATAGAGAAGTACTGGTAAATAGTAAGGACTTGTATGATCAAATGCAGCACAACAACAACAACAAAAACAAATTGAGCTTTGTTCATGATAAATTTTGGTTTAGTTACAAAATCCTTCTAAATCATTTCGGTTCATGGAAATCAGAAGCATTAAATTGCTGATTTAGCAAATGTTAATTTCAATTGTGTCTCATTTCATGATTATCGCTGGCCATCACATAAAATGGTGATCATCAAATCCAGACAAGGTCGTTCAACTCCTCCAAATTAAGTGAACTTTTGAAGTTACTTGGGTTAGAATCCTTTTAATTGCTGTGACTATTAGTCCTAATGCATTAGGCCAAGTTAATTTATGTCATTGGCTCATATAGACACTTTAAACTGTGAATATTGACTAGCTTTTTTCATACACGTACAAAAATAAAAAAATTGCTCCAAGATGCACCCGCGCATCAAAAGATCTCTCTATAATATCATTATTTGAATCATCAACGTAATCAATGACATAGGGATGTGGATTTGACGTCATCCCCACCTTCCTCCAGTATACCACTAGCAGTCCTTCTTGAGTGCAGCACGCACATTTTTCTTTCTTTTGGAGCAGTTTTCCCTGGGTGTACTAAACCCACGAGGGAAAGCAAAGATACTTTGAGGATACATGTCAATTAGGCTAAGTTGCTCAGATGTTTCTCAACAATAGATATTACCAGTAAGACTGATTGTGATCAAATGTTGAAAGCAATGAACCTAATCATTGAGTTACGTTACTATCAGGTTTAATTCTATCATGATTTGCACTCAGAAGTTCGTAGAGAAGTTGCAACTTTCAAAGAAAACTATCCCTTGAACAGAAAAAATCCACTTATAATTGAGAATCTCCATAAAATAATCAATTTTATTTTATATTTCCTCTATAAAAAGACAGAAACACAAAACCAAACATCTATATAGTATTGAGTTAATTAATACATTGATTATATTCTATGAGCAAATAGAACACTTATAAACAATCTTTTCTTACCTCTTTTTCTTGACTGCTGTCGCTTCAAATTCTTGTCTGAAGCTGACCATTCAATTTGCATATCCATTATTTGCTGAAAACAGTGAAAAACAAGGTATTAAATGCTAAATGTTAAAAAAAATAAGCAAAAATGAATACAACAATTACCCCTTTATGGTAATTTTTCTCTTTCCCAAGTTCTTTTCCCCTGATTATATTTACACCCCATCTCTATTATAGAGACCTTTTTGGATCGGCACAGATGAATAATCACAGATCTATGCAGTACTCAATCCGTATGTCATCAGCAGAGTGTAGTCAGTTGTGTCGGTTCTTGATAGAGCTGACAGAAAACAAAGCAAAATAAAGAAAAAATAAAACAGTATTTTAGTCCTAGAGAATACCAAAAATCCCACCTGACAGAATCCAACAAAGAACTGGAAAGCAGTGAATTTAACCCTCCCGAA